ATCTGCTAATGAGTAATGAGTCAAGACCTAATTTAGTAGCTACAGCATAATAGTTGTGAGGAGGGTGATCAATATTATCAAATTTATGATGGTTGAATGGAAGAAAATGTGTATACCTACTTCTATAAATAGTAGAGTTTTATATTCTTACGATTTATTTAATTCTATTAAATGTATAAATAACATCGATTTATTTGATAAAATAAAATTTGTCTATATTGTATTACGTATTAATAAAGTTTCACCACAATATACTTTTTTTTTACCACCACATCTAATTAACATATCTTATATTACCTTAAATTTCATAATTGATGTATTTATAAAACTATAAAAGTAAATTATACATCGGTTAACTATGCATAGAAATGGAACTTGAAAATATAATTTTGAGCATTTAAAAATTGAGTTGGATGTTTCATTGAATTGACACAATAAACCACACACACAATATTACAATAAACTCCATCGTACATTCCGACATTCGTATATCAATATCACTTGCACACATAGGATATAATTATTTTATAGTTTACATATGAACCAGAAAATTTAAATTAAAATAGTAATAATAGTTATAATTATTGATTAGTACTTATTATTGTGGGAAAATTAAATTCAAAATGAAACGGTGCTCGTGCTGGGTGAGATACCACATCGTGTGGAGGAAGAACTCGGTAGTTGAGAAGATTATGCAAATACTGTTGTCGTTACCTATAGGTTGGAATATGTAGAAGGATTAATATTTGATTTTTCTGCGTCAAGTATTTTGTTGTATGTACTATTATGCTAAAACTAAGCAAATAGCAATGTATACAATGCACATATGAATAAATATAATCGATGTTCGAATAACAAAAATTAACAACCATAATAATAATTAGTTTTGTGGTTAGCGAGAGCAGATAGTATGACGCACCTATATACTATCTACGTTTATATTATATTACATTAATATTTTATATGTCTGAAATGAGTAAAATATCATTTTCTCATACATCAACATTAATAAACAGTATAAACTATAAAGTAAGCAAGTACAATAATATAATTTACCTATTCTTACTCTATGCCCTTTGTCCTATGGTATTAGGTATTTAAAATCTTATCAGGTGTTATTATTTTTATTTTACTTTTCCTATTGGCTATTGTGACAGTGTCTTTTTGCTAATTGTGTTTTAATTTATTAAATAATATATATAGTAATTATTAATTATGCCTAGACGAAATTTCGAAAGTAGGGCTTCAAAAAGAAAAATAATGGATCCAGATTTTTTAAGTAAATGTACCAATGATAAAACTTAAAAGAAGTTAAATTTTTTTATGTGCAATATATAGGCGCAAGGTATATGTGGCCAAAATAATTATATCCGGATAAAAAAGTACCTATTCACCCACTAAGTATTTATAACTGTATAATACAACTGGAAAAGGCATAACAATACTGTTATACAAGTATTTAATAGGTACACCAAACCACAAAATAATATTCTATTAAATTCAATATTAATAAATCAAACAAGAATAAAGTATTTCAAATTAACTACAAGGTTTAAAAACAATGCTAAAATATTAAGTTAAACTTAATGAAAAAGGCAAAAGAACATTTCTTTTATTACATTTTAAAACATAATGTTCGTTTTATACCATATAACATAGTATACATTATTAGAGTTAATGTTTTTTATAATTTCTACTACCTTGATTCTAAACTTTCATCCCTTATATTGCCAATTATCATCATTAAACTCAATTATGTGATGTAATAGAGCACCACTGACGTCTGCTTTACATGTTTTTATTTATAGATGAAAATGTTGTAATTTGTGTTTATTTTTGTAAGTCTATTTTTGGAGAATTTATCACAAATCAAAATTCAATCAAAGTATGATATCATCATTTTGACATTTGTTTTTTTTCAAGTTACTCAAATCTGGATTTGAGACTTAATTTAGGGTCCCAAAAAAAAACTTAAACTGAATTTGAGACACGATTTGGATACTGGGGGGTCTACCTCGTTTAGGGTCTCAATAGTCGGTATTTTAAGAGTACTACCTTGAAATGTACAGTGTTTGAGTGTTGTCTACTTTTAGTTGGCATCACAAATTTACAAACATTATTCATAGTTTTTTTTTTTTTAATCAATATTTCTATAAATTGGCAAAACTGTGTTTATTTAAACCCATTAAAAAACGTATTGGTGTCAGGGAGTCAATCGCCGAAAACCCAAAAAGATTCTTGTGGTGGTTTACCTGTTTTTTAAAGCTGTATTCTATAATAAAAGTTTGCCATTAATGGAAATAAAATATAAGTTTATTCATGAATAGACTGAAGTCATGTGATAAAGGAGAGTGACAGATATAGGAAAATAGATTTTCATATTATGTAGTATCCTGAGAAGGAGATTTATTGAAGTTTATAATATGTACTAGCTGATACCACTCACTTCATCGCCCATTAAAAATGCCAACTCTGCAATGTGAGACTAGCTTTTGATAATGTGACCAGTATATTATCAGGTAGGCGGACTCCGCTAGGTGCATACCCTACAATATGTCTTCATGAATAATATTTTTTATTTTTATTTTGATTGTGGACACGCCGAAGAGCGGCTATAAGTGCAACTAAGCCACTTTAGTAGGCAATGTGCGAAAATTCGATTTGATGCATGCTTAAACCTGATCTGCCCTATTAACCAATGGCAACCAAAAAATAAAAATAATTTCTACCAAAAAATTAAGATAGTAGATAGATGATCAGTTATTAATTAAAATAAAGGTGCAAATTTTACTCATATTCACAAATTGTATGGCCCGTAGGTTAAATGCTAAATGAAGCCTCATCTTATTGCTTGTCAAGTTATGTGTTTGACTTGCTCTTGTATATTTTTTTTTTCATATAATATATTCCTATGTATTTCTTGCGTCGGACGGAATTTACTAAAATAGGCTTCGATAATAATATGAAAAATAAGTAAAATAATTTCTGAAATGTTGACATTTATAATTAATAGTTGAAATTTTTACGGAACACGTTCACCAAATATGATCAGTCGACTGCTATTACTATTTAATAGTTTACTGTATAAAATATAATTAAACTATATGCATGTAGATATAAAATTTACCAGTAAAATATACTTTTGCCAAATTCTATTCCTTTAAATCAAAATTTTTAGAAATCATTTTCATTGTGCACCGCGAAATTATAATATTTATCTATATCCTCAACATTTCAATTCGATAACTCTAATAAGTTCATTTTTGCTTTGATAACGAATCAGGAATACAACTACCTTTATATAGAGAGATATCCTATCTATAGTTGGCAATAAATATGCATTGACTTTGTAAGAATCTTAATCGAATACATCATGGCCATACGTTTTAGACCATTATATTTAGTTCCTAGCAAATCAAATAATAATCTGAGTTATATATAGGAGATACAAATTGTACAATTAATTTCACATGAATTCATACGTCAAAATTATAATGGTGAGTTATATATTTATAATAAATTTATATAATAAATAATAATTTTACATGGTAACTTTTCAAGTACACTGGTTGGAGTGTTTCTAAAATTATAACAACATCGTAATATCTCAAAAGTACAGAAAAAAAATCAAATAATATTTTATTCGAGGAGAACAAAACATATTATATTGTGCATGCATTCATACTATGTAAAAAAAAATGTTTATTATTTTTACACTTTTTGATCATACATTAATGCTAAAAATAAAAGTTAACATGTGTTTGATATACTGTTACATTACAAATTAAGTTAGAATACAAAACAAATATTGAAACATGAAAATAAGAGTTTTGATATAATACCTCTTTATTTTTCTCATTTGGTGTACATTTATTTCAAACGGAAATTTATAGGTATGTCAAAAACAAAAATAAAAATATGTATTGTACATATTATACTAAGTGTAACAAATTAAACCGCAAAGTCTATGTAATGAACATACATCATCCATTATAATAAATATATATATTGCACAATATATGATACAATTATTCATTAATCGATTTAATTTTGCGAAATTTGTTTTATTGGTCAATTAAAATTTTTTTCGATAGTAAATACTTAAAAGTATTTAGAATAAAATATTTTTATATTTTTATCGTACAGACTTTTAACTTCTCAAAAAATATTGATTTTTAGTGTAAGTTTTTTCTAGTTAATAACTTCTGTAGATTATTTCATAATTGTCAGTAGAATATAATAGAACTATTGATCCGTATCAAAAAATTATTAGGTACAATATTTTGACTTTTAAACATCATTATTCCTTATCCCAAATGTATAATTGATAGAAGCTCAATCCCCAGTTTATAAATATTTGTTTTATTTTGATTTTTGTGTTTGTCTTCAAAACTATGAAAAGTTAACTAACTATATGAAAACAATTCATACAAGTTAAAAGTCTGTGTAATAAAAAATAATGATAACTTAAAGTACAAACATTTAAGTACTCAAAATTCAAATTATTTTAAACTATCATTCATCTTATACTTAATTATCTATAAATACCTATATAGTATTTTATAAAGGTTATGTTTTACCTAGGTACATTGGTAAGTTTATTATGTTACGGATAAATTCCGAAATCGAATACATCTAAAAATTACCTATCGTATGTTAGGCATTTAGGTACCTATACCTACACATCGTATAATATAATGAATTTCCTAACTTTAAAGTCTTCAAATGATTCTTATATTTGAGTTGTAATAGGTATCCCTATTATTACCTAATAGATGAATGGTATTACTGGATTCCTTCATTGCAGTAATGAGCTAACACACAAATTTACAATAGGTGGATATTTCAGTACATACTTGGATTTATAACAATCATAGACCATACAAATCAATATCTACACAAACAGTCAAAGCTACATTTACAATACTCACTACGACACTAGATAGCAGCACCTAGACCGTTATAACACTTTAATGTATAGTTAAAGTGTAGTTCGTAAGTTAGGTACCAATAAACTGTTAACTATTATAGTGGGTTAGTAGTTAGTACATTGCTGCACCGAAGGTAAAACATTCCGTGTCTGTTGTTGTTCCTATATTCATATTTAGGTATTTTATACATATATGATATAATGCAGTTAAGCTGCAGAGCATAGCATTATATTTGCTCATATATCTGGTTTGTCACTTTGTCAGCCACAAGTTCGACATGATTGTAATAAATTGTATGTACCACATTGCAACCGAAAGAAATTCTAAAGAGTTATAATTATTTATTGTAAGTAAGTGAACTAGGTACCTGAACGGCCACTTTGTAATTCCCTTGATCATATTGCGAGTATAAAATATGTTTTGGCAGATAAGGTCCGTAAAATAATATATATTTATTTGTCACATATGTAAATAGGTTCTTAAACGTACAGGTGTAGGACAAACTCTTACAACTAATTCAGTGATGCCTGAAGCAGATAATAACTAATTACAAACGTCTGTATTTCTCAAAAATATAATTTAATGACTAGCTATAGTTATTGTTAGTGTTCTTTAGTATTATAATATACGTTATACTTATACGAATTACGAAGTAATGTTCATTTCTAATAGTCATACAAAACTACTATATACGTTGAATAAATTACAAAATATTATCGAGTAGCGATTAAGCGACAACAATATTAATGATAGATGTACAGGGTATTCTGTGATGGAAGGTTTTATATTTTTAAATGATGGAAACATATAAAAATCATTACTTGATCAATCCAAAAAAGTAAATTCTCACGGGACCAACCGTATGCAGTTTTAGACCAAAAAATAATTTTTACACATGTATGATAATATTGTTGTACAATGACATTTAAAGACAAAGAATTATATATTTGTATTTTTTGAACTAACATAATTTATTTTTCATTGATTAGTGATAACTTTTCTCCGTAGATATTGAAGTTTAATATCTGTGTTAAAAGGTACAAAAATGTGGATTTTAATTTAAACTGGTATTAGTTGACAGATTTAAATTAATAAATGGGTTTTAATTTAAAAATACTAGTAGGTACCTATATTAAATTATCGAAATTATAGTTAGACAACTTAGTTGAACTATTGCATAATACTATGATTAATTAAAACGATGTTCATTTAACTACAGTTGCTTACCGACAATTGATTCAAAATCGTCGAATAATATTTCACAATGATTGGAAATCGTCAACAATTTCAAATTTAAACGTAAACACTTTTTTCGTCGATCATACTATGTTTATTTATTTATAGAAATCGTATTTTTATAAGAAGTCAAGCATAACAATAATAAATATTCTAAAAATAAAATATTTAAAATAGATAGATGAGTGAAATGGGTCTATAAGATATATTCCTAAGCAAATTGTATTACATTTTACCGAGTCTAATTTTACAAACTGTCAAACTATGTGAAAAGCCAAAATGAACAAATACCTTATACCTTACTATGGATATTTTAACTCAGTAAATGTCAGTCATTCTTACTCAACAAGCATTAATTGTATTAAAATTATTATTGGTTAACTCATTTGCAGAATGGTTGTTTTCAATAGTGTTAACAGATTTATTTTTATTACATTTAGGTATAATGTTGAAAACAGTTAAAATATAGGAAACTGTCCATAGGCATAATACTATTAATTATTATCGATACACTCAATCTATTCATGAATAATATATTAATATAATATGTCTTATCGAGGAATAATATTATTATAACCGTCCAATATTAGTTTACTAATAATAGTTCTATACATTTAAGAAATCCATTGATATACGTACAACGTTGCTAGTTTCCGGATGGATTACCTCCCGGGAGGTTTATAGCAACACATCCTTGTTTTTTACAAACATAAAAACCATCTAAACCTATGCTTGATTTTGCTGAAATAAATAAATAAATACAAAAAAAAACTCCCTACCGTACCACCCTACACCCAATGGCTTGTTACCTCTGGTTCCCCCTAATAAAAAAAAAAAAGAAAATTTAAAAAACGTTTGAACAGTAAATGCCCAATAGCAAATATTTTATAGTTAATAAACAATAAAGTAAAAAAAAAAAAATTATGATAATGGATTTTCGTTGAAATTAAATTCGTTGCGATAAGTAAGCTCAATTATGCGACATGATCTAAAATGAGCGCGAAAACAATATTTTAAAAATAGGTAAAAATTTAAAAAAAAATTACCTTTGATCCCACGAATGACTTCATAACAAATGAATTGTCTGTCGACTTAAATATAATATAATCCCAATATAATCTTCGAAAGACCTACACAATAAAGGTCGTTTAAGACATATGATAAACCACGATGAAAACCAAGAAAGCAGTATTATTTTTAATAATATATTATGCATATAATAACTACAATGCAATTATTAAACATTGTCATAATGGTTTAGCAACAGCAGCAGTAGTGAAAACGATATCACGTGTAACGTGTTCAATTTAATTTCAATGGGCCGCGAGTGAAGCTTTCTAGTCGGTGGTGATTTCGCAGTGAGGCTATAGTGACCTCCACTAAATTTTGGATTAAATTATTTTTAATTGCGTATACACTATTTGGATCACCGTAAGTACAAATACGTTATTTAATTCATCTTTATTTTCATCCTATAAACTAGTCATTTGAATGGAACATATTTTAAAAACGTATATATATATGAATATAAAACATTAAATAAATTTAAAATAAAAACGTGTATAATAACATGACATTATTAAGCTTAAAGCGATGTAAAAAAACAACCGTTTGTCCCCGGTTCAGCGTATCCGATAAACACGACAATTTATTTCAACGATTATAATATAGGTATAGGTAGTACTGCACGTATATATATATATATATAGGAGTAACGCTATCGTCTACATTGTTTTCGTTCGACTATCCTACGCGTTATATTATTTTTTTTCAGATACGATTAATATTACATGCGCCTTATTGTTTCAATACAGCGTACAGTACACCACCACAGATCATATCAATTATATTTATATCAATTAATTTTATTATTATTAACACGATCTGTGATGCGACTGCGGTGTATATATCGTCCACGGCGATCACTGGTGTTACCTCGACGGATCGCCTTCGGTCGTTGTATCGTTACGTAAAGAAACGCGCGGTTTCACTCCGAGAGGATTTTGTACGATGATATTATAGTTACAATAATACGGAAACCGATATAATTCGGTTTCGGTTCAAGACACGTCGTTTCCGTGCGCGCGTGGAGAGGGGTCGACGAGGAGGGAACGTCCGCCTCGCCGGGAAAGAAATAATTAATACTGCGTGCCGGAACCGCCGGCACGACCGGGAATCACGCGGACAGCCTGGTGAGCCGCGTAAGGCCGCCGCCGTTGGCCGCGCAACCGCTCCCGTCGTTGCTGGACGACGGGCTGCTGTAGTAGGCCAGCGACGTGTCTTCGTCGTCGTCGTCGCAACCGCCGCCGCCGCCGCAATCGTCGTCGAAGTCGAAGTCGACGTCCGGACAGTGATGGACGCGGCCGCCGTTGGGCCTGCAGTCGTCGATGAACAGCGTGACGGCGGACGACGAAAGCTTGTGCGCGGCCACGCCGCGGTCCTTCCGGCCGCAGATGGCCGCGGCCCCGCCGCTCTGCTCCGACGAGTACGGTTCGCTCTCCTCGGACATGGCCCTCGTGATCAATATCCTGGGCGATCGTCGCGAGTCGCGCAATATGCGCCGGACGAACGCGCTGCGGTTGGCCACCGCGCACCGGCCGCCCCGGTCGGACCCGTCGTCGTTGGTGGTCGACGAGTAGCACCGCCTGATGGACGAACCGCCGCCGCCACCGCCGACGCCGCCGCCGCCGTTGAAATGGACGTCCGCGTAAAAGTTACCAAAGTCCAGGGCGTTGGCCGAACACGTGGCGCCGGGAAGACGTCTGGCCGCAATCGCCGTCGGGGGTTCGCCCGTCTCGGACAGGCTCATCAGCGACGACCGGCGGCTGCAGAGCAGCAGCAGTGGCGCTGCCGCCGGAATGACGGGCGTCTTGCCGTGGCCGGCGGCCGCGGCCACCGGAGTCAGCGAGGGTCTGCGTGACCCGCACGCGGACGGCGTCCGGGCCTGGATCTCTTGGTTCACCTCGCACTTGGTCATCATTTTGCGCCTGTAGTTCTGGTACGTCTTCTTCAGCAGCTTGTTCTTGATGCCGTACAGCAGCCCGTTGCACAACGCCGAACCGGTGATGAGAGCGAACGACAGCGACTTGACGGCCGGGTCGGTGCGCGGCGCCGCGCCCACGGCCGCGCACAGCGACTCGTACAGGCACACGCCGTAGTACGGCAGGTAGAACACGGCCAGCGAGCCGACGATCTGGAACACGGCGGAGAACGCGTTGCTCCTGCGCAGCTTGTTGGCCATCGCCGTGGGCAGGAAGAACGGGTTCCGCTGGTGCGTGATGGTCACCTGCGCCGACAGCGTCACTTCGAATATCGCCGACGCTATGCGGTGCCTGTGGTACCGGGCGATCGTGAACACCTGCGAACGATATAATGCATACGTTTTACGTGATGATCTATCGTACAAATATGTGCCTATAATGATGCATTTATGTCTTCATTAAACATATTATAATATACTTTTGTGCTTATTTTGTGTTATTTTTATAATTTTATGCACTATACGTTTTATATTAATTGAATTCGTATGTTATGGTGTGCAACGAAAATCTCGCACAACGTAATGCATCTAAAATGCTATTGTTATTTTCTAGCTGTTCCAGAACTAGCAACTACACACATAACTATGATTTATTATAGTTAAAGATGATTTAAGAATAATAGATCATTTTCCGATACTATACCTATTATAGTAATATACTTAATATTTTGGATATTATGGAAAAATGCGTTTTCGACAGATACCGAAAAAATTGTTTCCTACTCAAATTGTTTTTAGAATCAACAAAAATCGGTTTAAACCTAATAACTATGATACTTCTGTTTGTAAATCAGCACACTCCAAACAGTAACGGACCAATCGTTTGCTTAATTTCAGCTTATTTGTAAATAATTCCGTATTGATTAATAATAAATCACTAGTATTATAGGGTCAATATGGTTTTGATATTTTTATAAACTCACTTTTATGTTGCATCCGAGTATGATGACACCAGGCAGTACTAGAGTAATGGTCGTATAGAAAATGCTATAAAAAATAGTTGCTCGACCTTTGCTGAAATCTGTAGTACAAACAGGTAGGCCCGGTTGATAAGTATAAGGAACTAACCGGAAAACCGGTGGCAATGAGATCAACAAGCACACAATCCAAGTGCCGCAGAGACCCAACATGATTTTGCGGCTGTTTACTAGTGTTCCGTAATGCAATGGTGCCGCAATTGCATAATACCTAAATAAAAAAGAAGTTAGTGATTGAGATATTAGTATCATAAATATGTTATTATTAGTTGGATAATATTCTAATTAAAATATTAAACAGCTATTTAGTACCTAGTTTAAGTAATAAATGGCATATAAACTTAAATAGTGATTGGTGGTTTAGTGGTAGGTATTTAATAACTTTGAGTTAAAATCAAATTTCCTTTAATTTATAACATTCCAGTACTTAATATTTCCAGCAATTTAAGTACAATTTAAGAAATTATGAATACTTACGATTTTTGATTTTTCTATGTCGGTATAACAAATTATCTATAGAGCAATCGATACCAACCTGTCACAGTTGAGACCACACACTGTCCAAATGGCCATTGGATGTAGGAAATTAAACAGAAATCCGTGAACAGGACACAACCACGGAGCGACTTTTTCGTACTGATTGAATGTCTCCGGTAAAATGGACAGCAGTACAGCAATGCAAATAATCAAATCCACAGCGCTCAAGTGAGTGAGCAATACGTTGATTGGTGAACTCGTCTACAAAATATGTGTAAGTAAATTGGTATGTTCAGATTTTTTATTTAAATGTATGTCCATGCGTGCCATTTAAAATGTTCCACAGTTGTATAATACAAAAGTGAGCAGTTTTATTACATTTTTGCTTTAATAATAATTATTAAGTATTTTTTTTTTTTTTTTGAAAATTACTTTTCGAGAGGTTGTTTATTTTTGCTCTAAGCTGCAATATGTAACGTGATCTTCAGTTAATTCCCAGTCGTTCAATAACAAACTGTTTTTTTAATTTATTTCATTACTATAACGATATTTATTGGCACTTTCATAGGAATTTCAAATGGATCGGGATGAATCAGATTTCACAAAAGTACAAAGGTGATCCTTTTAGGAGTGCAAGAGTTCGCTTACATATCATTTGACTCATTTTTCAAATTAAATAAATATATTCTACATTTCTACAAACATTATTGTAAAATGATTAGATTCTGGAATATTAACTCAATAAATTTTCGATTACCTTAATGTAGAAACTATAAATATAAAATCTCGTATTATTACAAATTAAAAAAAAAAATGGCGATATAGGTTTCCTAACCATTGTCTATTTAACATTTGAACGCCCCAGCGCACTTTTTTATAAAATTTTAATCATCCCTCATGAGATACTACTGAGAAATGGTTTTAGAACTTCATAGAGCGTTTTAAAAAGAAATAAAAAATATATGTACTTGGGCATTGTAAAAATCAATAACTTCTTCGTTCTTGTTCAGAATCTAAATGAGAATAGGAGGTTACATATACATATTTATTTTTGCTAAGGTTATAGTACCTATATAATATTTAGTTACTTTGTATGGGTACCCCAAGTGTTGTTATATATTTTCTGTGCTAATATTTAAAACCAATAAATAATAGTTAATATTATATAAATAATTGAATATATTTAACATATAAGTAAGTAAGATAGGTTTTAATTGAATAAGGTGAACGGGGAATAAAAACAACCGAGAAACGTGACAATACAGTAAAAGGAAATTCATTTCCTACTGAGACGCTCTCGTATTTCGCACAAAATTCAATTATTGTGGTTAATTACGTCATTTAACAATACTGTGCTGTATTTATGTGCAATGAAACCAGCATTTGTTGTAGGTACTACAATTTAAAGATATTATAAAATCAAAATGGAATAAGAAATTGGAAAAATGAATAAGATATTATAACCGTGACATAATCTGGGTAACTGTCAATTATAAATAATATATTATGTTCAATGGAAGTATATTATTATTTAACATTTTAATTTATTTGTTAAATGTAAAGTCCATAGCAATTAAACGTTGTCCCAAAAATATGTTGTTAAACATATTATTATTATAATATAATTTCTGTATACTATAAACACTGCAGTTAAGCTTGTTGGAGTGGTTCAAGTATCTTATAATTTGCGTGAAAGATTGCATCAGTGCCCAGTCTCCTAATTTGTTGTGAATTCAGTGCAAAAATTATAATAATGTTGATAATATCGATTAATAATAATAATAATATTAAACATCAGTCACCATAATACAGTCACATTGATATTACCTAATTTAATATTACGTGGTATATATAAAAAAAAAGATACGAAGCTTTGATTGAGATAGTAGACTAAATAATTTGGCATTTTCGAACAATCTTTTGAGTTCTGGTTAATTCAACACTGCACGTAAATAATATGAGCCATGATTGTGCCTGTCGGATTAATTTTTTTTTGCCATCAATGATAAATCATTATTGATTACTCTAGGTCCTTGTATTTAGTGTATTTGGCGAATAAACGATACGGGACCGAGTTGCAGTATTGTGCTAGACAGTTCCCACCCGTTTCCGGTTTTTGAACGGAAAAATAAAAAATAAAAAAAGGTCCTTGTATTTACTCTTTTAATTCCTATTTTTTCACTGTAGTAAAGAGTTATCTTATTAAGGTAGGTTATCACGTTATACGTCGTGTACTCCCATAGACCCCGTTAGCTGTGCCTACTGATTGGTATCTATGGTAAAAGCTTTTGGTATAATATGGTGTTATACGTTCTTATCACACAATAAACAACGTTAACGTGTTGTTGGAACAATTTCACATGAAATATAACAAAATATGTACGGAACTGCGGAATGGTACGTCATGTTGTCACTTATCAGTTATCGTATTATAACAGTGTTTATAACCATTTAGTCCCGAACCTGAACCCATTACCAGCGGGGCAATGTCAACCAATACCTTTGAAACGTACATTCAAGGTAAACGTTTATCAATTATCATACACGTACACGTGAACATGTGCAGTGGAAATCTATGTGAAGTATATCTGGTACCCACATTTAAAACTATACATATATTGCAGGGTAATTGTGGGGAAGTATAGATTAGGTGTAATTAGGCAGCAACGTACCTATAAACTATAAAGTATAAAGTGTTATTTTTGTGTTCATCTGTGGAAATTCAAAAATCGTTGTAAAACGCCACGATGGCACACTAGCCACTGTTGAAGCGTTATAATACGAGATACAAGTCCAATATCACTGTTCATTCGATAAAATGTTTCGAAATTACCAGCAATAAACACGTATTTACATTGTGTATGTAAATTATACCTACTCAGATGAAACTATGTAAGATGTGCCTATATGGCGTTCGTGTAATCGTATCTATAATATAATATCTGAATATCAAGCTCAAATATAAAAATTTACAACTTAATAGAGAGAGAGAGAGAGAGAGAGAGAGAGAGAGAGAGAGAAAGGTGAAAGAGAGCTTAAAAGCAGTTTTGTAAAAAATAATTTTAAAAGTATTCAAGTACAGGTACTTATTTTGAAAGATATTTAAAATACTTATCTTGGTACTTAGTAAAACAAGAATTCAAGTACAAATATAAATAATTTATAATATTAAAGATTTATAGATATACTTTCAAATACAAAAAATACTGAAAAAATGTAAGTTATTTTTTTTTATTGGAGCTATTCATTATAAAATATTATAACTCGACAATTAACGTTAATTGTATAGAACATATATTTTACACCCCATCATTTGTTTAAACTACTCAACTGTCTTCTTTGTCAACGTATTTGATTTTTGGCTGAGTAAAATTCACGGTAAGAAACCATATTATTATAATATGTATACAAATTCTCAATTTCTATTTTTATTTTAAGTGATCAATATTAAACTAAAAAGAATTTATAAAGTACATATTTGAAAATATTAGTATGTTTGATTTGAAAATTTAAATACAGAGATACTTGGAGAAAATATTTAAAATACGAATTGGTTTACCTAAAAGTGTTGAAATAAAAATTAAATATAGGTAGCAGTGATCAAATACTTTACAACACTTCTAATAAGAGGCGCTGCACTGGAGCGTATTTATTCAAAACTTCGAAACATTATGTACGGGTGTGGTGAATCCAAGAATGACGAAAAAGGGTAAATTAGACTATACATTTGCATCTGCAGGTATAATAGGCATATATATATTATATGTAAATTTAATATTTATAGCTATTAAAAGGCGATAAGTTATGCAAAACTATGTGCAAATGTATGAAAAAAATAAAACAAAACACGTAAAATATGCATTTAGGTATTACATTTATGTACGATGTATAAATAAAATACTAGTTACTTAATACTTAGTTGGTACCTACCTATAATTCATCATATATTAATTTATATACGTTTGTATATCTTATTTATCATTGTCATTTATCGTCATCCATACAGATCATATGAAATCAAACATATATTTTTAAAATACATTTTATGAATTTATTATGAAAAGTATGCAGTTTTATGCAACAAATACAATGTAATAAAGTAGTTGTATAAAAAAAAAAAAATACAAAAATATAATAATATAATACCTGTCTATTGTGTAATGCAATATTATTGTACTCACCACGTTGTTATGAAAACTATCAGTTAAGTAAATCAGTATCAACATGCAAGTTTTCGAAAAACAAATTTTAAATATTAAACTCCTATGAAAGTTAATACTACGTATATAATTTATAGATTAAATTTCATAATTGTATTTATTTCATACATATGAGTTTATCACAGTAACGCGAAATATGCGCATATTGATTAGCGAAATATATCATACTCTATTAATAAGTGTACACATATATAATACAATCATATATATATTTTCAGTTAAAAGAATACATTAGATTTAGATTTTCTGGTGAAGTTGAACAAAATGGGTAATATAATTAATTAACTTCGAGAGACTTATTTTTTTTTTTACTTAATGCATAAGTAATCGTAGATAAAATATTATGGGGACTATTAATCCGATTTCGGTAATAAACCTTACCCGTTTGCTAAGTAGGATGACTAATAAGACGTATCCGTTTATGAACGTGGCTAGGGCGGCCACGCCACAGACTGCCAATACGGTCACCAACTCTTGATCGCCGTTCATCACTCAGCATCACCCGATTAGCATACCTACATCATTCTGAAATTTAAATAATAATGATATATTACAATAAGGAAACTTGGCTTGTGGCGGACACAAAAGCTTTAATGGATGAAGTCTTGGGGGAGGGAATCATTACATTGAACTGTATTAGAGGTACATAGGACTATATCGCCTGCAGTTGAAGTTGTGAGGAGATTTGTTCACAGAATTGTTTAGGTTACATTAACATAAATGCTTAGGTTTATAGTTCTTTAAAAAAAATTGCTTGCATTCTTCTAAATAATTGACGAGAACTGCGCTCTTAACATTATCATTCTGATTAAAAGATTTTTTAAACACATTTAAGTAGTAGTAGTTTCGTATCTTAACTTAAAAATTAAAATTTTTGCCGTGGATAGTGCTCAAAGGTTTAATTTTTTTTTTATATAACTAAATGAATAATAATATTTATGAGTAATATGCATGATGCCATGATGATATTTTTGGAAAATTCAATAGGTATAAAAATAAACTATAATCTAATTATAAAAATAAAATGAAATATATTCAATTATTTTTCGTATAATATAGACTTAGGTATATGCCTAAAGTCGTGGAAATATTTGAGAAGTACTTTTTTCGTTGTTTAGATATTTTAAATAAAAAAAAATGATATTAATGAATACGTATAAATGACTAGATAAGAGCGTTTGTGTATTTTAATTAACAAAAAAAAATGTTTGAATCAATATATTTCAATAATTAAAAATGCTTTGTTTAAGAAAAAAAAATCGACAAATCAATCTTTGATTGATGTGTAGTTTTAAATAAGTTTTATTTGTTAAGCCATCAGTGTGTATTATTTTAACGTCGTGTTTGTATTACCTAGATATAGGTGCATTACTGCATTCTACCATTTAGTAAACAATCGGTACCTATACAACACACTCACAAATACACAAATAAATGGTACAATATAAATTACACTTAATATATTGTAACACGATTTATGATTACGTATTATATAATTACAAATATATAACACATTTAAATAGTCACATATTATGTCATGGGAGAAGCGAGTACGACAGTATTGTACCTTTACGATTTGTCACTGATGTTTCAATCAGTTTTCGGACTCTAATTTGTTACATTTTTTTTTCAAATACAATAGATTAGACAGTTAATATTGAGTTTATAACATTAGCATAGGGAGCATATTAACATAATATTATTTATATGTATATATATTTTTTATTATTGATATTAAGCCCGGCTACTATGGCCATTCGCTGTTTACAAGGGGAAACGGTTGATTTGAAACACGTTTCTGTATGTGTGGCAAAGATGTATTGCTAAAAACCCGGGTGGTCACCCATCCGAGTGCTAGCAACGACGACCGGTAAGTACGCACAGAACGTTACCTTTCATTACGCAAATTGAGCGTACGACCGCGCCTCACCAAGCCACAATATATATATTAATAGTATTTATCAGAATATAATTTATTCAACGTCGATAAGATCCTTAAATACCTGGCAGTCACGTTTTAAGAATCAGAAAATGTTCATCCTTATTTTACTGTTGACATTGTGAATAATTTTAGACGAACCGTTTTTTAATAGCAAAATTACACTTTTTAAGCCTAATGTTCATAAAACAAAATTCCGTCACAGAAAGTCAGAAAATGGTAATATGATATCGTATAAACTGTTTTGCATTAAAGCAGATTTATTATTAAACTATTTTATATATATTTTTAGATAGAACAATACTATCATATTATAGTTTTCAAAACGCATACCTATTATAATAATGCAACACAGATGTTATTACATTATATGCTAATGTTATGAATTATTTAATCATTTTTTATTAATAACAATCCTTAGACTTATAGTTTTATAATAAATAATTGCAGACACGACCAAAACTAAGTTCGATTATAAAATAGAATTTATAATAAATATTAACTTCTTGCTTAATAGTGTCATAACTATTATTAAAAGTTAATGGATACAATATTGATGTACAATGATTAATAAGTTATTAGTTGAATCGACTTTAAAAGTCTTAATGATAGATTTATATTTTATGTTGACATCAAAATGAGCATTATTAGTTGAAATACAAATTCAAATGCGTTTATAAGTATAATTAATAATCAGTCTGTATCAATAAATACATCGTCATATTTATTCATGATCAAATTAATAAGATAAATAAAATAAAATAAAATAAAAACGGTTCAAATGGTGTACCAGGATATTAAGTATAACCGTTAGGGTGTTAAATTCTCGAAAGTCCTGGTTTTTTCTATACGTTTCACTTATTGAAAATGACAGCTATAAGCGAACATAATATTTGCATTAGTTTTCTATTGTAGATTAAACAGTTTTTGTGAGGCACTACTATGCGGTCGTGGTATATAATTTTAAAATTGAGATTGAAATTCTTAGAGAAACTGTTGTGTATACAAACTAACAGTTCAACCGTTATACGTTAGGCTTTGTATGGTAATAATTAAGTATACTTAAAATTTTGAACGCATCGCAGTATTACTTGAAAACAGCTCCATTCAAAAAAAACCATCTTGTTAAAAGTAATGAATATTCTGTAATGTATAAACAAACAAAATATATGTTCTAATAAATTCAGGAACTAGGTGCGTTGGTCTGACACAAGGATAAAAACGTTTCAGTTGAAATACGAATGACCCCCATTGTTATCATTTGGGATCTTTACACTTGTGAACTCACCGGAACCTATTGTTGAAAGAACATCCGGAGTGATAAGGGTACATTGAATTGTTTTGATATTTTATGAAAATATTTAAATGTTCTCGTTATCACCGAAATGGTACGAAAACTAAAAATTAATAAATATAATATTAGTATATTACAATTAATGCTAAGTACGACTTAAGTTGTATTTTATTTTTTAATTGCAAAATATACATTTTTATATCATACGCATCCGTTAGAAATATAACCACATATAGTAATATGGTATGTTTACATACAAACAAGTCTACACTATAACTGTCTACACTACATGATAATTAATTTTTGTTGATTCAATAAAATGTGGAAAGTTTTGAAAATGATTTTTAGTTCAAATACCTTTAAAGTAATTTTTAATATGTAAGCTAAATTGTTTAAATAAATAAATTTTAATTTTGGAGCTGTTCGAATTGAGTTCTACTGCCTTTTACATAATTTGATAAAAAAAATAATGATAATAAATACGGAAAAACAGTTAGAAAAGATCCGTTCTCAAAGTTATTAAAAATTAAATTAATAATTTCTGAATACAGACCATAAATAATAATATTTCAGTACTTGCCTAATGAAAATAGATATAGCTTAAAACGACATTCCCTTGAATTTTTTTATTTTTGGTTATTTATCAACATTTTTATTTTGAAAACTTTTGGGTGAAATTCTATTTTTCCTGATTCATAATCTATGTAAGCATATATTTTTTTCCAATCCGTTTCAAGGAAAATTTTATGAGTTTTTAACGAAACAATTTTTTCATATATATTTTATCCGTATTTAAAGATAATATAAATCCATACCGTTAATAATTTCAAGCAATTTAAAATATATTACCTACCCTCAGGCTGCAGTGTAGAATTCTACTTCATACTTGTGACGGATCGTCATTTATAAGGCTTAACATAATATAATTACTTATAGTTTAATATTAAAAGATAATATAGTAATATACATATGAGTATCTACGAATATTTTGATTTTTTATCAATTCAAAATTTAAATTTGTTGAATTATTTTACAAGAACTAATCCTTCGATCCTGTCCGCGTAATGTTTTTACGTATTGTGTATTTTTACGCACGTGTCGATCATAATATTACTATGGCATCGCAATAATTTTTAATGGTGCAAAAATTGATTTTCGAGTAGCTTGGACGGCCACACAAAGGTGGCCAACTCTGCATTTACACAAGGGCTAGTGCGTTATAATGTACCTACACGCATTCATTATTTTCATTGTTTGGAGGGAGAGGGTGGTCACCGATGGCCTGATACGACAAACACTTCAAGCGGTTCAGTGATGGGTACAGGATAAACGTATACGAATGTATAGTTGTTCTCCGACGATAATCAATTACCCGTTCATTTTTTTTTTTTTTTTTTGGAATATTCCAGAATTTACAGTTAACGGACGAGTTATTACAATATTTCGGAGCACGGCCTTAGAAGATAAGGTTTGGCGTCCATTCAGCACGTAGACTATATGTATAGGTAATATTATTATATATATATAGATGGTTTCATGCTTATTGGGGCAGATGATGCGTTTCAGATCAAGACCATTATTATTTTGATCAAATGCAGACGGTTACGTGCAGCTACGCGTTCCTGGTAAAAGGACTTTATCCTTTTTTTTAAGCGAAAACCACCGATGAATATAAACGAGTAAATGAGTAATATAATCCGTTCTGATTTTCGCGTTGGGCTCGATATTGTCGTTCGTTTAATAAATTGTGTATTCAATAAATCTCCCCTTCAGTGTGTGTGTGTGTGTGTGTGTGTGTGTGCATACTATTGAATATTAAAAAAACAAAAAAAAACAAAAGGAAATATCATGATGTATACCAACCACCGTCAGCACTCGGCCCCCGTCATGTGTAATTAACAGTGGGTTCGATGCGAGTGCACATGCACACATATTATTATGTTCTCTATACACACGCGGCCGACATGGCGAACTCATCACTTTCGGCAAATTACGGTTTAACGTCTGTAAACGTTTCCGGAGTAGCGAACGGAATATCGCGGTATTAGGTTAAGTTTGGTTAACCTAAGGGTAAATGTCGCCCGGCCTTATTATCGTCAGAGGCGGCCGTGCGCGCGCGCGCCCGCACACACACACACACACACACACACACACACCAGGGCCATATTTACCATTAGGCAGGATAAGCAACTGCCTATGGCCTCTGTTATTAGAGGGGCTCCTATTTTTAGGAATCTTATATTTTTTTTCGACAAAGACTTAATAGGTTTACTATCAATAGAATGATTTTACATCTTCTTTAAACTTTGATGACATCATAAATGAATTTGT